AGGAATTTGAACTGTTTATATGTGGATCATCAGCTCTTCCTCCCCGTTGGATCAGGAGATTATGCTTTTCCTTCACAAACTCAGTAAGGTAATAAGGCACAATTATTATGGAATGGAGCATAGGAAAGTGCATTGCGGAACTCGTGGCTTTTCACATTTTAAACTTCATTTTTAACATGTTAATAAGTTATTCACCAAATCAACATCATAGGTCCTTTCATCTGCAAATTTTCCCATTCACCTTCCCTTCTAACCTCCTTGGGGCTGCAGAACTGAAAGTAACCCGCAACGCAAAGGGTTTTAAAGTATGATAGTTAAATATGCAGCATTTCTTCAGATTCCCCCGCAAATAGCAGTGGTGGCTGCAAAAGGCAAATTCATCTGAAGTTATACTGGAGGAATAAATCAAGCTGCATACTTTAAAAAAAAAATCTTTTTTAAAAAAAATCCGGCAGAGAAACTCCAAACCTTATCTAAACTCAGTGTGGGGGGGGGGGGGGAGGAGGAATTCTGCAATTAATCCTGAACATCCCCTTTTAAATTTGAATTTAAAGGAAGCTGTCAAGTTGTTCTTTAAAAACTCTAGAAGCCTTAGTATAGGAAGAAGAAAATAAAACATACCCTATTTCTGTATAAATTTAATGAATAAATGAATACGTATTTCTTAATACTTCTTAAAATCTACTTTCAGAAAAACTTCTATTTTTATTTATTTTATGCCATAAAGTCTTTCTTTCTTTCTTTCTCTTTCTTTCTTTCTTTCTTTCTTTCTTTCTTTCTTTCTTTCTTTCTTTCTTTCTCTCTCTGTCTCTCTCTTTCTTTTTCTTTCCTTTCTTTCATTCTCTTTCTTTCTTTCTGTTTCTTTTCTTTCTCTCTCTCTCTCCACTTTTCACAAGACTTTGCAGCTTATTGTAAAAAGTTGTAACCAAAACAACTAAAGGACAATTTCAATCCCTCCTCCCACACACATATTGAAGTTCCTAAAAAATAAATGGGGAGAAGGGTCTTTCTTTCTGCACAATGCTTCTCAGATCTTAGAGGGAGGGGAGGCATTCTAAATTTTGCAAAGTGACACATGCATTTTCTTTCCAAAACAATTAATTTCTTTCAGTGGGGAATTTTTTATTTGAAGTCCAACAGAAGTTAGCAAGAGCAGAGCATCACAGTAAAGGAATCCAACCAGGGCACATTTCCCCCCTCCCAATTCTACAGCTTTCCTACTTTGAGACTAGGCTCTGCAGTGGGTAAGGGTGGGGAGGGAGAAAAAAAAAGAACCAGGGGGGAAGCAGCACATTTTCTGGAGAATAAAACTGATGCTAGCCGTACCTACCCATAAATTGCATCTTTATCTCTCTTTAAAGCGTCATTGACAGAGGAACCCATGCTGGGGGGCATGGCGTTGGTGTGAGCTGTGTGCGGGTATTGATGGGAGTGAAGCGGAGGACCATGGTTCAGGTGGTGGACAGGCTGCATGGATCTGGCGGCATGGGGGTCCCCATACATGGTGCTCGGAATCCCCACTCCATCCATCCCACCGTAATGGGGTAAATCGTCGTACTGCATAATAAACAGGAGGGAAAGAAAAAGGGTCAAAAGGAAGGCCGGTCTGAAGTGTAGTTTATGCAGGGGTGGGGAGAAGAGAGGAAAGCAACTTTGTGTGCCAGGGAGTTGGAGTTGGGAAGAATGGCTTGTAAGTTAGGGGAGATGGCACCAAATCAGATGACAGGAAAAGGCCTGGCTTTAAGTGTGAGGGTTTTCACTCCCCCCTCTTTTTTTAATATATAGATATTAATTTTCCAGTAGGCCATCGTAAGTATGTCCTTTCTGGGATCCTGGCACAACAATCTTGTGGGAAGGAAAAAGTTAACAGAAGGGTAGTAAACTAGCTGCTTTAGAGTCCAATTCATCATAAATGCATGCTGAAAAGCTGCCTCTTTCAGTGGGCTTCCCCAGCAGAAGTTAAACTGAGGACACCTATTATTAACACGTGCATTAAGATAGTCCTTTATTTTTAAGAGGTTCCCCTGTGGGCATCAGTGGTGCATGCAAACAGCCCCAAGTGGAGAAGGCCTTCCCTGATGTTGCAAAGACACTCTAAAGGTATGGTGCACAAAAATAGAAAGCTCCATTTAGAATGACTCTTCAGGGAAATTTCTTGGAGGTTCTTCCCTTTCTAGTCTTCTGGGAGAAAAGGATAAGAAAACTACAGTTAGGATGGGTGTTTGCTTGGGGATTTTTGTATAATTAATAAACAGAATAGTTGGAAAGTAGCCCTGTTTTCAATTTAATTTTCCCATTGTTGAGAAGTCACATGCACAAATATCAGACTTCAAATACATTTGGGACAGTTCTAAGGGCCATGTATTTTCTTCAGCAAGAGGCAGTGTATTTTATTTAACGTGCTATACAGCACCGTCTCATTTGCCTACTGCCTTTGCTTTTGCTGCGGGGGAAATTAAACTTAAAATACTTTTCCTCCATTAGTAGCAGAAGCCGAGTG